AAACATGATGGCTGGGGGATTCTGGGAGTTGAAGTCCACCCAACTTAAAGCATGCTGGTTGGGGGATTCTGGGAGTTGAAGTCCACCCATCTTAAAACATGTTGGCTGGGGGATTCTGGGAGTTAAAGTCCATTCATGTTAAAACATGATGCCCAGGGGATTCTGGGAGTTAAAGTCCACCCAACTTAAAGCATGCTGGCTGGGGGATTCTGGGAGTTAAAGTCCATTCATGTTAAAACATGATGGCTGGGGGATTCTGGGAGTTGAAGTCCACCCATCTTAAAGCATGCTGGTTGGGGGATTCTGGGAGTTGAAGTCCACCCAACTTAAAGCATGCTGGTTGGGGGATTCTGGGAGTTGAAGTCCACCCAACTTAAAGCATGTTGGCTGGGGGATTCTGGGAGTTAAAGTCCATTCATGTTAAAACATGATGCCCAGGGGATTCTGGGAGTTAAAGTCCACCCAACTTAAAGCATGCTGGCTGGGGGATTCTGGGAATTGAAGACCATTCATGTTAAAACACGATGGTTGGGGGATTCTGGGAGTTGAAGTCCGCCTATCTGCAGTTTAGATGCACCCGAATGTCTTCCCTAGAGTCAATTGCAGCTTTTCTCTTCCCCTCTTTCTGCAGATGGCGCTTTCCCATCTCCCTCCTCCCCCCGCAGCCCCCGTTCCCCTCGCCCCTCCCTTCACCCAACCCTCATTTCCCGCCCCCGCCCCTCCCCTCTCCGCAGCCGGATCGACCCCTGGAGCTTCGTGTCGTCGGGATCCCGGGCCTCGCCAGCGGTCACCCCAGTCCAGTCGCCCTCCCTGGGTCCACGTCACTTCAAACCACTCGCTCCCGAAAGCACCAATCCTTTCGGGGCGCCCGTTTCAGATCCTTTCGCCTGGGGGGACTTTTCGGCGCCCGCCGACCCTTTTCTCGGGACCTCCGCACGGGCTGCCCCAGGGACGCTCGACCCCGCAGTTTGCTGGACCTCCAGACCTCTCCCAACTCCGCCAGACGACTTGCCAGCCTCCTCCTGGTGGGGGGAGACCTCCTGCCCACGGGGAAACCCGGTCCCCAAATGACCAGGGACGCACCATTTCTGGAAATACGCCTGCCGGGCTTCACGGGACACGGGCCATGGCCCGTCGCGTGGCCAAAGATCCGAGGACCACAGACGGCTGTTCTACAGGGAAGGAATTTTTTTTTTAAAAAAAAAGACCTTGAACCTCAGTGGTGAAAACTTTGCTGGGGGCGGTCACACAAAGGGAGGAGGGGCTAATTTCCTCCCCAAATCTCCACTATGCAATGAACACTAAGCTGTCGCGGCCAATGTGGATCGCCTTGTGGTGCCCTTTTCCCCATTGCCATCCCTGCTCCTCCTGACAGGCAGCTATCTGGGTTCTCACCTCGGCTCCCTTTCCTCCCACCACAGGACCCCCTGCCCCCCACAGTCCTAGTTAACTTTCCATTCCCTCCCTCCATCCCACCCGGAAAAAAAATATGCAGCCAAGTGAGGCCTTTGCCCAAAGTTTGTCTTTTTGCACACCAAGAGAGGCAATGTGATGACCCAAAGGGGCGTGGCACAAAGGCAACCCAGTCAGATGATCAGTAGGAGTCCCTTTATTAGCTCCAACTTTGCCCCCAATGTCCTGGTTACCTTCTGGGCTGGAGAAAAACTCTCCCAGGAACAGCCTTTAACTGCAGGGAATCCAGTCCAAAACGTGGTCAGCAAAAACTGGAACTATAACTCCAATCAAGGCAAAATGAGGTCATTAGTCCAACAGGGCAGGAGAAGGAATTCCAGGCGTGAAAGAACAGCAGTAAATCAACCCAGTTGGGAGGATGCCAGGAACACAAGATAACCAAAGTCAACACAAGATAAACTCATGTTTGCTCCCAGCAGCTGCCGCACTCAACTTGCATTTCTCTTCCCAGCTGCAGCTAATGAAGGGAATCAGGGCCCTTTCCTCCCCCGTAAGTCACCCAACCCACATTGCTCCCTTCTCCAATCCTCCCTGCGTGCCCTAGGATGAAGAGGGGGTGGGCCTGAGTCTTCCTCTGAACTCCCTCTCCCTTGTTCTACCTCTCTCCTGCTGTGCCCAGCCAGACTTTGCCCTTCCCCAGTTTTCTCCACTGCCAACGGAGCCACACTCCCGCTCCCTGTCAGCTGCTCGGCTTCCTCCTCGGATTCAGACTCCGACAGGGGCACGACAGCCAAGGGTAACAGGCAGGGGACCAAATGTGGGGGCAGGTGTCCATCAAGCGGCCCCCTCCTCAGCCCTTGACTTGAGGCCAAAGCGAAAAGCAGAGGAAATTCCCACATTCCCAAAAGCACTTTGAGTGTGCAATTCTACTGTGTTCTTCTTTCCCCTACTTGAAATTCACACGTGTGCCGGGCTCCCTCTGACTTCCTCCTCCATATATGTGCACGCATGCACACACTCCTGTGAGCAGGGTGGGAGCGGGGAGCCAACTGTGTTCAGGACCGTCCCAGCTCCGGACGGGCCGAGCCTGTGAAACGAGACCAAATAAACCTCCGGATATATTGCCATTGTGCGAAGGTGTCTGTTTGGGAATTCGGATCGGCTACAAAATAAAAGGCGATTGAGCATTGTTGCGCATGGAATTGGGTGGCATCCGCATTGCACTTATGCCACCCTCCTTATACAGGGAGTGTTCGGACTTTAGTTCATTTAGTGACCGTTCTACGTTCCAAGGGCCATTGAAAAAAAGCGACTTATGACCGTTTTGTCACCGTTACAACCCCATGCTCGTGGGATCAGAATGCAGAGGCTTGGTGACTGCTTCATACTTATGACGGTTGCTGTGTCCCAAGGTCACGGGATTTTCCCCTTTTGGGACCCTTGGGACACAAGCCAAGTCGATGGGGAAGCCAGATTCACTTAAAGACCTGGGTTACCGACTTAACAACTGCAGTGATTCACTAGGCCAGACAAGGAATCATGGATGGAAACTGAACAAGGAGAAATTCAACCTGGAAATAAGGAGAAACTTTCTGACAGTGGGAACAATCAACCAACGGAACAGAAGTTGCCTTCGGAAGTTGTGGGAGCGCCATCGCTCGAGGCCTTCAAGAAGAGACTGGACTGCCATTGGTCAGAAATTGGTGTAGGGTCTCCTGCTTGGGCCGTGGGTTGGACTAGATGACCTACAAGGTCCCTTCCAACTCTGCATCTGTTATATGCTATCTGCTTAACAACGGTGGCGAGAAAGGTCGTGCAATGACTCACTTAACAAATGTCTCACTTCACAACGGATTGGCAGAGTTGGAAGGGACCTTGTAGGTCATCTAGTCCAACCCACCCCTCCAGCCAATGTTGGGCTCCCTTGCGGTTGCAATTCAAGGACTTACCTCTATTGGCAAACGTGAGGAACTAGCTCCTTTATCCACAGTGGATGATCTCTGCAATCACAGATTTAAGGAAACTGGAATTTCTGTTGCTAAAGCGAGGCCCTTGTTAACTTTGTCCCATTTGATTTTCCGACAGTCTGGTTGTTAAGTGAAGCACTGCGGTTCTTAAGTGAATCATGCGGCTCACTTAACTTCACCTCTGAGGCTGTGAATCCATTTGCAAAAATGAACCGGGGAGGAGGGGAATCCCTGACATTTTTTTGCCCTCCTCTGCTTCAACTAAAACATTGCAATAAATTTAAATTTGCTGCTGAAAGCAGGTCATGTGCCTTCCTACCACCAGCGAGGAAAGGAAAGGATATGGTTACAACCTGATAAGGAATTTTGTTTTCTAATTTATCCATCCTTTGTGCTACGTGGCAGCTGGTTATCATCCCCTTAGCCAAGTTTCCAGGATATCCTGAGGGGTCCCCAAAATCTTTTTCCTAGAAGGAAGGACATCAGCCTGCCCAACGATTGTTCTTCTAATATAAATACTGATCAGTAGATAGGAACTACTGCCGCTGGTATATAGAATACTACATCTAGAATACTGCATCCACTTTTGGTCACCGCACTATAATAAAGGTGTTGAGACTAGAAAGAGTGCAGAGAAGAGCAACTAGGATGATGAGGGGACTGGAGGCTAAAACAGGGTCTTATTCTGTCACTAGAATAGAATAGATCTGGAAGGGACCTTGGAGGTCTTCTAGTCCAGCCCCGTGCTCAAGCAGAAGAACCTATACAATCTCAGACAAGTGGCTGTCCAGTCTCTTCTTTTTTTTTTATTAAATTTTATTGGTTTTTGAAAACAAACATAAACAAAACATAAAAACATCAAGCTATCTTCCTTAGGTGTACATACAGTGTGCCGGTTGGTTTACAAATTGTTTTGTCCTTCCATTTCGTAATCTTCAATTACAGTTACATTACATATAATCTCAAGGTTGGATGAAACCTCACTCAAGGTTCTTATCAATAAACAAACACAATTCCTCTAATTCTCGTGATGTCATCAAATACAGTTTAGGCTTAGGGAGCTTCGCCCCTGGCAGAATCTCAATGCTGCAATGTGTAGGGGGGTGACCGCATCCAACGCTTTCTCGCTAAAAAAACTCCCTTAAGTCTCGATACTCTTCAGGGATTTTTTTCTATCCCACAATGCTTTCACTGCCCATCGATGCCAACTCTGTGGAATTCTGGGGCTTTCTTACCCTGCTTCTGGGGGTTGGTCTGTGCATATGCGCAGTAGCCCTTTCCTCCAATTCACTTGGGGATTCCATTTCCTAAGCCAGGGCTGTCCAAGTAATAAGGGGCACTCCATCCCAAGGGCCACCATGAAACCCAACGTCTCTCGGTGCCTCCCCATTGACATTTCCACTGGCTCTGTTAGAAAATGGGCCAAGGCCACCCCCAGCTACTGATCCATCCAGTTGGCAAAAGGCTACGGGAGTTTTTAAAGTTCTTAGCCTCAATCCCAGTTTCTCCACGACTTCGGAGCTAACTACACGTCTAGTAACACCCAGAGTCCAGCAGGGCCAGTGTTTCCCCCTGGGGGCCAGAGGCAGGCACCCTTAATTTCACTGGGATGAGGGTCATTGTCGGAGTGGGATTCACTCTTGCCAGAAGGGGTCGGGGGAGCGAACTCTACAACCTCCTCCACTTTCAGGGCGGTTTCATGCACCTTGGCCGGGTTTTTTTCAACTTTTTCCCCTCCCGCCGGTGCCCCCTTTAGATCAAGCTTAGTACGGCAATCTGCAGATCGATCTCCACATCCGCGGCCAACACGTACCAGAGTTGCAAGTCTCTATGATCTCTTCTGGAGATACAGCTTGGATAAACATCTTCATTCAGCCCATCCTTGAGAGCTTCTTGGGACCAGCCTCGAATACGGCATGCCAGCTCTCTACATTCCTGGGTGTGTTCCTGGGTATACGTTCGCCCCTGATTTAGGGTTTTCATCCTAATCCTAGCTCTGAGTTCAGCAAGAGGATCTTCGGGATTGGTGAGCAAGGCTGCCATAAACAGATCATAGTTCATCCTCAATTGAGGCGCATCATCATTAGGCCAGGTGACCATCCACTTTGCTGCAGTCCCCTTCTAATGCTCTGGCGACACACCTAACTTGCCTCTGGGGCAAAATCCTCACCATATTCCTCCATATGGCTCCAAACTTGGACTAGGAAAAATCCTAACTCCTTGGGATCTCCTCCGTATTTTACTTCCAGACAAGGAACTTTTGGAATTCGGTACCTCCGTGGGACTGTTTCCCCCACTCCAGGGGGGACTTGGGCAGTAGCCACTTGAGCTGGCTTGGGCTGAGCTATGGGGATGGCTGGCAGAGCTCCAATTACTTTTGCCTCCCTCCCTCCTCTCTCCCCCAGGCTCTTCACGAGTCAGCCATTCATACCTTTCTTCAGATCTGCGCCCTTCCACGGCCTCACTAAACAGATGCAAAGCTTGGCTCAGCAAAAGTCTTTTTGATTTTCCTCCTGCCATGCGGTTTCTCCCTGACGCCATGTGGCAGTTGTCACCCCAGAAGGGGTCTCTTCCGGCAATTTCCATCCAACTCCCAAAGACCATTGGAGTCAGACCACCGGTTTTTCTTCGATTTGCAACCCCACCAGCCGCTTGGCTTCCTCTTGAGTGTCGAGAAGCTGTGAGGTTGTAGTTCTAGCAGCCCCCAGATCTCCTTGATAGCTGGCTGAGTTAGACATTGTTTTCAGACCCCGTTGGAAAATAAAAGAATAAATTTCCGGGCGGGCTGGTAAAAACTGAGATCTTGCCATA